TTAACTGAACACAAATATCCCACAAAATGCAATGCATCGATGCATTATTAGAACAAAAGTACTTTTAAAATCTGAGAGCTCATTTTTACCATCGAATCTTTTCTTGATTTATCTTGCCTTATTACAAATGCTTTTTGGAGAATCTCAACAAAATAGTAGACTACAAGTACCTAGAGAATGCAAACTAGAATTATATGCATATACAATAATATGAGGAAATATTAACAATTATTTGAAACAAWTCTTCAGAGCAGTCATTAAATAAAGATCATAAAGTCTGATTTACACGGTACGATTTGACGCACGCGACTTGTAGTATACAACTTGAATCGCGCCGAGTAAATGCCCCTACGACTTGTCTACAACAGTCGTACGCAACCTACGACTTGTAGTAGGGTTTTGAACCACTGCTTCAAATCCTACGGCTTGTAGTAGGAAAATCATATACTACAAGTCGCACGCGACAAATCGTACCGTGTAAATCAGCCTTAATGTAAATAATTTATGAAAACCTGAGCAAAGAATCCAAGGACAAACACAACAACAAAAGGTGTGAAGCCAGAGTTAGCAAGTTTGACAGGAAGACCTAGGATGCCAGTGCCAAGTGTTGCTGCTATTGTCACAAAGTCTGGGAGAACAATATGAAGGAAGGTCAATACTACTCCATAGAAATTTTTTTWTTATTATTATTAATTTTTTTCATTCACCACTTTGGAATAGAAATCATTGTTACAAAATGCTTGGACAGAAATCAGCCCCTGTRTGAAGAATTACAGATTTACAGTAACTTACTATTTTCAGAATTACTATTTTCAGAATTATAGTATTTAAAATGCACATCCTGCAATATAAACATCAGTTTTCTATTGACTTAAAATCTCCATCACTCAAAATTGAATACTTTTTTGCTAAAGCTTGCTCAAATCCTAATCCKCAAAACTTATTCTTAGGTTCGATCCAGGGGGGATAATTATGGTGGCAAGCCACCCCTCCCCCCCCTCTTTCTTTGATTAAAGAAAAATAGAAAAAAAGAAATTATAAGTAAATAAAAGAAAAAAWTATCCGAATTGGATTCATTCTGAAGGTCTATCAAGAGTATTCAACAGAATATATGCTCTTTTTAAAAGCTCAATAAAAAAATACAAACATAAGTYTTACTTCTCAAATATTATACACGTACACACATAAGGCATTTTTGATTGTCATTGGTGATGGTAGCTTYATATTGCCTTAATATACTTACAGCATTGAATATAAGTCATAAGTTTGCTTTCCTGATTTCCTTGTTTCTTGTCAATCGCTGATAAGTCAGGTAATAGACGATCTTTATCGTCATTTTCGATATCTTCTACTCCCGCCATATTGGCTTGAAAACTTACCTCTACGTTCCTATTTTTGTACAGCGGTTACTCGTATAAACGGAAGTGAACATACATACAGTATCTTTTCAAGCTGGAAATAACGCAAGGTGCGGTCACAGTTTCGGAACTATATCAGAGTACCCCTCTTTCCCACAAGATTTCCCACAAGATCTTTATTCAGTCCTATCCCAACCCTGAAATCACATTCAACGTGAAATTGATAGTTTATTATTGCGCCGCGACTTCTAAAAAGTTACTATAACTTTGCCTGTATAACTCAGCGTTCTTTCAACAAAACTTTTACTGACATATAATTGTTTTAATTCCATCAGGAAGATGCATTCCCGCCCCTGCARTCTGCTTGGATTACACTTTCTTTGAGTGGCCAATGGTCATGTGCTTCTGCTGATGTCATCCAGAGGTGAAATTTTATGCAGTCTTGTGCACAGTGAAGGAAGACGGGTTAGGGTGTGGTCCGTTGTTTTTTCTCTAATAAATGTATATTCTGGGTATATTTCTTTGATTTGACATTGTATCCAGTTAGCATCACCGASGAACCACAGGCCATTGTAGGAACAATAAATATGTCTTGTTGGTAAATAGAACGGTTCGMRCTCTTCAATTCACGGCATCCATTACATTTATGGGGTAAACATCGTGCGAACGCTTTTCGAAAACTTCTGGCAAAAACGCAATAGACCAGAGCGTTGAAGAATCCGCTCAAATTTGCTAGKATAGTGACGATTGGTAAAGTCATCGGACTCCATAGTTGTCGTCTTAGAAATGTGAAATTGTAAGGCAAACAGTAAAATGTAAAAATAGGAGAAACACAAATCTCAAAGATCARTAGAATACAGACAATCATAGCAGTCACACTCTTGGCTGTTTGATGGACGCTTCTTAAATGTGGGTCACGTGAGTGGTTACCAGGGAGACGCCTCGTCCACAGTGTAYGTCCTATGATGACGTAGAAGATCACCATGACAGCATGTGGAATGATATATCCACTAAAGAAAATGAAGGATAAATAGTATGTCTCGTCAGTGGAGTAAGAACCCATTCCACAGTATGATATATTGTTTTCATGGAAAACTGTGACTTGCATCGTGGAGAAATACGAAGGCAGTAATATTGAAATGAGCCACACAAAGAGAATGRTAACTTTGATCCAGTGTGGCCGGCGAAGCTTGTGCTTTAATGGATGACGCACTGCTCTGAACCTATCATAACTGATGGCTACAAGACTAAACACTGAGCAAAGGATTGAAATRTTGAGAATGTAGAAGTAGGCTTTGCAGAGTATCTTATAGACCAACCCGTCACCGTTCCATTCATTACCAAAAAATAGATACCTAGCAGTTCCTACTACAGCAACCAGGCCAAACATGTCACCTACAGCCATGTTCACGATAAGATAGTTCGTGGTACTACGCATGTCTGGGTTGGTTCTAATCACGTGGATTATAAGAGAGTTACTTGAGATCGATACTATGGCAACTATAATGAGTGACATCAAAAGGACTGGTCGAATGGATGRATGAGAGAACTGTGGACGACGGTGAATCATAACGTGTAAATCTGAAAGAACAATAGACAGTAAAAAACGCGTATAAGAGCAAGTGGATTAAGAACGCACAGGCTGRATTTAGTAGAATTCAAATATAAATACAAAAAGGATGTTCAGTTTCGATCTACTAGTGACAGTATGATATATGACTGGGATCGATTGTATGTTGAACATACACATTGATACTCATCTKTTATTAGTCTAAATATTTATAAATACGAACATGTTAAGAACATTTTCTGGGTGTTTTTAGTTAACATAAAAAAACGGTCAAGTTAGACAATCAGCCTGAGCTCCAAAAAAGGGTGTCCTCAGTATTATGCTGTTCGGGTTTTACTGTAATCATATTGAATTGATTCACAGATTAATGGATATTCCGGCACTGAATCGGGACTTCACTACTGGGGATTTTGTTGAATATGATTTTGTGTAAAGTGAATTCTAAACTTACTGTACGCGGATTATGATGGATATTATGAACACTCGACAAATTTTCGCGGAACTTCGTCCAGAACCGACGACAGCTTTTGATGAGCACACTACGCAGCTTTTTTAAGACCTTGTTTTTAGTATTCGCTCTCTTATCGTAATTTTGCGGTTAAGTGTTCTTCAAGCTTATGCCCTCGTCTCCATTCTTAGCAGATTATCAGTCTCAAGTAGTGCGCCCATGGACCGCAAGTGTGTAGTTATATATAGTGTATGTAGTGAATTGTTCCAGATACAACTAACAATGTATCTGTTATATTCAGCACTTGGCCGGAAAGGTTTTGATAATTACCTGAATCAGTTGCGAGCTTTGTATCTTTACTCGRTGTATCATTAGAACTCAATGTCTTTGATTCACAAACAAGGCTGAAAAAAACAAACCATRACAAAAGAAAAACAGTGTTTTCTGACATCTTACAGTGGTGAATCTGAGGACCAAGCAATAGATAATGAAGAATACAACAACTTATACAAGATGACTTGACACCTTAAATTTAACTAAATACACAAACACCCACGAGTGAACCAATCACCGTTCAGCCTATAAAAMCAGATGGTAKTTTATKCTCAAAATTAATGGARCCGATGAACAAAAAAATCACTTGTTTCTGTTCATTTGATGMCCTATAAAAACTTAGATTACATGCGCTCAATTTATAACTTCAGATATTCACGAGTGGTGTCGGATTTAATGCGAAATCGAATGATCATACACTCCTTATAATCTTCATTTCTTTTCTTTCTTTCCTCTTTTTCTTCTTATTCTCTTTTTCTTTCTTTCCTCTTATTCTTCTTATCTTTTTTCCTCTTTTTTATCCTAATTGATCTGTATCTCAAACCATGAGTACCCGGATGTTCAGTGCATGATTATCGGGCATGCGCATTCAAATAAGGCGAACGCAATAGCCCAGCGAGATTTGACTAGAATGTCAGTAACAGTACATGGACAAGCAATCTTTGCTTTTTTTTACAAGTGCACTTATAAAGGTTCAGTACAGGTGTATTTCACCAGTTTCTTGTATTATTATTTTGCAAACATTGTCATTCTTCATGTTTAACTCAAATAGATCACTGTCATCACTGTAATCGGCTCTTTGAAAAGTCATGTTAGTTCAGCTGTTAATATTTTTGCGMGAGAAGCCTACCAAGGGGAGTGCACTAAGTATTTTATTTGAATCAGTGTAACTACATCAGTTAAATGTCTACTATGACAATATTACTCTGTGTTTTTCAAAATCAACCAGTTAATCTTCAAGTATGGTCATTTGATGCAGTTGGTATGCATTCAAGGTTATTGAGTTGGATARTCGATAGATTTATCACTAGTCGGCTGATGTTTAAAAACAAACTTGATGAAAGAGGTTTGATAAATGGTGCATAAATCAAGATAATCYAGGAAACATTTGCAAAGATGTTTTGATAACAACTTAAAAGGTTGACAAAAACAACATTTTGACTTGTTTGTTAGTCAGTCATATCTCTCAACGCAGCGATTCGTAAACACGAGAACTGGCTACATACATATGATGAGGCATTAGAAAAGGACTAAACAACATCAGTCATTAGGATAAAGATGAATGAAGTTACACAGTCCAGTATGYTAAGCAATGCTACGTACACAGTTTACACTGTTTATATAGCTKCTCTTTTTGCAATCAGTTTCCCAGTACATTTATTGAGTTTCAAATTTCTTATAAAGCATATACTTCATCGCCATAAAGCGAGRGAACTCAGTCCTTACTTGCTAAACATTTGTACAGCWAACTTTGTTTCCTTGGTTATTCAGTTTCCTATCGTGTTTATTGCTAGTATGGAAAGAGGTTGGTCAACCCTCAGCCCCATCGCGTGCTACATCRCTGGAATTACTTGCGGAACGTGTAGTACAGTAGTGATCATTACGTTAACGTTAATGAGTGTAAAGCTTTTCCGTACGATCGAAAAAGACCTCGRTAGTCACGAATTRAAYRCGAACAGTCGACGAACAAACCCTATAAAGTTCGGWGCTACTTGGATTATCAGTCTTGTRATGTTCWTACCAACAACTTTCGGATGGAAYTCAATGGTTTCCGATGGACCTCATTGTTCACCTAACTGGCGTGTTGATTCAATACCAGAYGCATCGTACTTGGTCGCTATTGTTATTGCATCGTTTATTGTTCCTTTGACGATATTCATGCTCTATTTCGTCAAAATGACAAGATACTTGATGAGACATCATAACCACGARASTTACACATTACACCAGATGCGSCTACGAGTGCTTCATATTGATGCTAGGAATCTCATCGGTGTATTAACCCTTGTTTACATGTTGCTGTGGTTACCCTACTGGTTTTATGGCTTCTCGACCTTATTTGGRAGGCAGACGAGCAAGAACGGTGACCTTGCCATCATACCGTGGTTGTGTATAAGTTTATCAGTCACATACTTCCCTTTTATGTATGTAGCAGTGAATAAAAGGTATGTTCGTTGGGCATTGACGTGCGTACGCAATTTGAAAAAATAATTGAAAAAAAAGCAAATCTGAGTGTACTGACAAAATAAACGGGTTAAGCAGATATCAACCACACCCTAACGACACAAACAACATTTAACGCTATATACGGTGATTTGCACAGATAAAGCCGAACGTTTCTCATTATCAAACAAACACTAAACCAGCAAACATCACCGCAARAATAAACGGTCCAACATATTTTCAAACAGCTATAAATAGAATGATATTCAAGCTTGTTTGCGAACAAGTGGGTTTATACGAGTCATATCAGCAAATTACATTAACAGACTTAACAAAATGTCCCTTTTAACGTGTCTATCATTTCCTTTAAGGTTCCGTCTAACACTAATGTCAGTTCTTGGCTGTAAGAAGACTCAAATAAAGCCAAGTATAGAAGTGGAAAAGACTGAAACATATGAGGTGCTGTCGAACTCCGTAACACCAAGAGCTGGGTCTCCAAGCATTCTAGTTCCAAGGTAAASCAGTTGACGCCCATTATTGTTAAAATGTTAACATTAATCAGCMAAATTTGCCGTCATTCAAATATAAGTAGACTGGATCATTTGGAAAAACTAAGCCCACAAAATACAGACGATGGTTATTGTTATCATTTCTTTATTGTTCGGTATTCCCGTTCTAGTTACAACATCTTATACTGAGTTTTTAGAATACTTCGTTGTTCAATTCGGTATATGATTCTTTAGCCTCTACTAGGCGTATTATCTCCAGGTGAAAACTTATCTAACCAATGACGTCGACACATACCAGGTGACGCTCTTGTTGTGACGTATGTGTTGCTAACCAACGTGTAGTGAAATGRAAAAACGCYTAAGTCGCGGAACAATGATGAAACTAAAAGCCRAAAATCTATCCAAGGAAAAGATAAAAGCGAATAAGAAGGATTTTGTACTTTAACTGATCTAAAAACATCGTCAGGTCCTTGGTTAGATAACATCAAGGTTGACTGCTAGAATGCTGTTTTTCACGTAATTCTATTTTYTTATCTCAGATCACCGCTTGTGAACAGAGCCTTCAGGCTGTCCGTATTTGAAGATTATGGAGAAGATTTCCGACAACAAAAACCATGGAGCAATCAAGAACTGTAYACTCCAGCGGTTTCTCGTCTTATTCGATGCTCACTACATGCGACTACGCACGAGTCAACAGATGAAAGCAGCTACTACGGAMGAACACGTAGAAATACAACCATTACATGATAAATAAACCTTTCCACGTTTTATTGGTTGGAAATGATTTCAAAATGGCAAGTCTTTCACAAGGTGTGGTCTGGCACGTGGATAGTACTCCCTGTCCTCCCTTAATTTCAACTTACATCATTTTTATAGGTAATTCGAATTTGAACTATGATTTTGAATTGTTCTTTGTCAATAAGGGAATTGATAATAGCCGACTTGCGAATTACGCATCAATAGTCACATACAAAGGAATCAAGACGAGGCACCGTGCTTTTTTGTGAAAAATCTATTGTCTTTAGCACGGCGCCTCGTCTTGATTCCTTTGTATGTGACTATTGATGCGTAATTCGCAAGTCGGCTATTCCCCGCGGTATTGTTCACGCACATAAACCACGCGGGCAGCCCACCCATTAAACCACGCGGGCAGCCCACCCATCATTGACTAAAGAGAAAACATACTCAGCTTTGTGAAGTGAAGAGGACAGTAATGGTAAACCAAAGCTTCACCTCGATATAACGCAACATTTTTGTAGCAATAATACATCCTTACACAAATAAGTTTCCACACACTTTTCAGTGATGATGTAATAACCCGGCGATTCTTTTCCTTCCTGTAAATAAACAATACTATACTAAATTTACCACCCTGCAAGCCTAGAATAGTAATTATTGCTACTATTTCCAGACCGGTATCTATCATTGTAAAGTATACATAGAAAAAAATGAATAAAACTCTGCATGACAATTACTACCATGAAACTCAGTTTCTGACTATTTCTTTTGGCTGGTACCTTCAGTCTCATCGAAGGCCTAAACTGACAATAGATTTGAGATTATGTCAAACGAGAGAAAGCTGTCTTTGCTAATATGTCACGCGCTACACTCTGTTTCTACTCTGAGTTTGAGCACAAGACTGAAGCCCTTTCAAAGTCAGGTAGTGAACAATGAAAATGGTGTCTATGGAATCCCCTATTGAATTATGGAACGCACTAGCAACAGAATCAATCACATGGAACATGCATACTTTACRTTGTACTCCTCTCGACGATCTTGTTGTTTAGTTAACACTATTGCTAAGGCCCATCTTAAACGTCGGAGTCTACATGTGCCAAAACATCCATGCTAAAAAGTTCAGACAAAAGATTGGAGTAGTTTGTATTATCTTCGGAACGTGCGAGATCGAACGGGCATTCTTATCAAGAACGAATAGACAATCTTTAGGGAATTTCATATGTAGTTTGAACATTAAATAATAAGTCAGATTGTCAAAACAGTAGTCTCTAGAGTCCKTACGGCCAAGTTCATGACACTTACCTTGGCGTCGAACTGTCTGAACAAAGACTTTATTTAAAAGTTGTGCTGTGTCGAAATCCTCTTCAACKTGAAGCTCGGATCTTGAAATGCGGGTATTTTGAAGAAAGCCAAGATCATACTGATCAATGTATAGGACTGTTACCAAGCTGTTRATAATAATATTGGACGGCCTTCAGGTGAATGAGGARATATACAGCTGAAAAATTGTCTACAGCTGATAGTCTAACTATGAGTTCTGTCAGAACGACGTCTGGAAAGAAACGCATGTGAGTATCACAAACTTACTGTCAATTCTTTGATGTGTTGTCAAAATGTAATGATAATAAATAGTAGAAGTGCTGATTTTCGTTTCCACTTGTTGAAGGAGCTACGGCTCAGATTCAGAACGCTCTAAACGTTTGAATGCCAACTTGATCGAAAGAAGAAGAATGCAGAACATCAACTGTGGCTTTTCGTCACTAAAAAAGCTTCTCCCGCCATCAGACAGAAAGCAAACCAAAGCAGCAATACTTCAACAGGTAATGAAATACAACAATTTTAGTCAGTTATTATTTTTTGTTTCACTTATTAGTAATATACCATGTCGAAATCGGATTGCTCGCGTTTGAGAATAGATATCCGGCACAACTTTTACCTCGTATTATGATAATTTGAGTGGTGAGGAGAATTGGTTTATCAGTTGTAGCGGGTATAGAGTGGTGGCTTATCTGTGGTGATGTGGAAGTGTGGTTTGTTGCTTAATAAATGTCATTTGCTGAGAATACTTTATTTTTAGGCATCTCAACATATACTTCGTCTGCAGCGAGCAATAATCCAGTTCAAAACAGAAAACGACTCGCTTCGAAACACTTTAGAGTTAGAAAGATCATCTCATGCTAGCTCCTCGTCGCACGTCCAGTACACAGCCAAAACACCAAGAATTAAACCAATTGATTATAGGTGTGAGGTGGAATGCTCCCCCCTTCCTCAGCGCAGAGACTTACGCATGCGCAACATAGACAGTGGGTGGCGAATGTTTGAGCATGTCAAGAAATTTAAGCCTGGTTGCTCTGAAACCAACGGTTTCGATCATCAACGAGAGATGTACTATGGGATTGATTCAAGGCCTCCTACACCCCCAATTAGTCCGCCTCTGCTTGAAGGTCATGTTCTCAGAAGCAGAGGAAATATGGTACCTGARACTTCAACAGGCTTGGCTTCAAAGTTCTCAACCAGTCGACAATCAAGAGGTTGTTACCCCTCCCCTGAAGGTAACTTGCAGC